AAATTAGAAAGGTTGTTATGAGGATATTCTGACAACAGATATACTTAAAGTCTAGTTTGTAAATAACAATCAGGTGAATAATCAACGCTATCTGATTGTGCAAAGCCACCTTTTATTCACATATCTGTTCAGGCTTTATGGTAACAGAAATAAAATGTAATAATATCAATACGTTAGAGATCGACCGTGCAGATGTCAATTCTAAGAGAGAAGACCCCACTCGAGAAACACGTGCACGAGAGAGAATCATAACAAGTTAGTATGGAGCGAATAGGAAAAAAATAACTTTCAAAATTTAAAATCTTACCAATGCACGATACAGTGAGATTCGTCGATAACAATTCCAACGAGTCTAGCGCTGTACTGCTGAAGTAGCGATCTGGCTTCTTGATCGTCAAATATCTCGGGGCTTGCATACAAAATTTCAAAGTTGCAGGAGTCCTTCAGCTTTTCGAGGCTTTCCGAGTCCACTTTGCACGCTTTCAAGCCCATTTTTCCACAGGATCCTATTTGATCCTCGATGAGAGAATTTAGCGGAGAGACAACAACAACTAACGGGTCGCTCTGGAACTGTTTCAATCCAATGCTGGAAAGTTCTTTGACAACAACGGGACAGAGTTGGTAAATTAGCGATTTGCCATGGCCGGTTGGCAAACAGACAAAAGAATCTTTACCACACACTAAATTGAACAGGGCCTTCGACTGGTGTTGTGAGAGATTGCATATTCCACTTGTATTCACTCTTCCCAATGCATTTTTCACTGCTTTCTCAAATACATCTTTCGAAAGAGAAATGTCAGAAACCTCCGCCATTGTTTTGAATCTCACGAGTGTATGAGGTGTACTGTGGGCGTGCATTTAGTCAGCAATTTCTAAGAAAGCACATGTGCACTGTGCCAAAACGGAAAAAACTGGTTTCAAACCGGACTGACTCATCCATTTCGGTGGATGAGCGGCAAATCAAAGAAAGTCGAGGCGGCTGGCAGAGGTCCCTTCCTCTTCCCGACTTATCTAGGAAGATCGAAGGGCCTCTGCTCGCAGGGTATTCAATTTCAAGTAGCCAATTGTAAACCCATACGTAGAGAGATTTACAACTGTATTCAAAAAGGCAAATAAAGTTTTCATTATTATTATAAAGATCTAAATGTAATAGCACAGCAGTATTACTTTCTCTGTATTGGGGTTTATGCTCTATTTTTCCTAGCTAAATGGTACCATTTTGCCGTCATAAGCTAACAACCCTTCCAAAAATAGTGCCTATTTTACCTCTATTTTTTCTCTATTTTTCATTCTATTTTTTCTCTATCAGTTCCTTATTTTCCCTCTATTTTAAAGCACTATCAAGTGCTATTTTAAAGATATTTTACTCTATTTTAAACCTGTTATTTTGAAACAAAAAAATAGGAAAAAATAAGTGTTGAAAAAAAAGCCTGAAAATAGTATATAATTCTGAGAATAATAGGGTTAAAATAGTCTGAAACAGAAAACTGCCAAAATAACAAATAGCAATAAAATAGAGAAAAATATCCAAAAACCATCATTAAAATAGAAAAAAAATAGGGGAAACTGCAGAACAAAATTGAAATAAAATAGGGAGGTAATTTAAACCTATTTTTCCCTATTTTAAACAAAAAATACAGATTAAGCAAATAACTTTAAAGTAGTGTTTTAAAATAGCGTTAAAAAAGTGTCGTAACTGCGAAAGTAGGGTTAAAATAAGGTACTAAAAACAAAACTTCCCTGCAAACTGAAAAAAATAACTTTGAATTACTGTATTACTATAAATTTTAGGCCGAAATATGCCTGCCATGTGTTAAAACTAATAAAAATCTCAGCAATTTATAGCCCCAAAGCTCAGGTAAATGAATTAGCTTCGTCAGTTAATTCCCTTTGACTCAGTGACACACATCTTTGATCACAATTTCTCTTCGTTATAGTCCAATTCTTATATTACCTCTAGCCTTTTATGGTACTTAGAAGAAAACTTGACTATAGGACAGTGTAATCATCATATCTTTAAATGAGTAGTTGAAATGAAGCCATCAATGCTTACAACCACATTAACTTGATGCGTTAAAACATTAACATTCACCACTATAAGAATTATTAGATCTATAATACAATATTATTCTTCTTTAAAACAATCAACATTTTTCATTTTTTAGCAGCTTTTTCATTTGCAGTGTCTTTATTGTCTTTCTTTTCTTTTTTTCGTTCCAGAGTAAGTCTTTCGGTACTCTCAAAAGAAAAAAACAAGAAATTGAAGCATTAATATCATTAAAAAGATGCAATTTATTCAAAATTTTGATCATAACAAGTGTATATGTTGTAGGTAAAATCCTTTTTCAGGTTGAACCAGTATTCAACCGAGTCAATATATATAAGTACATTTATTTGCTATTGGCATTGGCTGTATAGGTTATATACACAAAATTAATAATTGAACATGGCAGCAGTTAGAGTAACTTTGAGCATTAAGCTTGTTTTGACCAATTATTTGTAATGTATATGTATAATAATCATAACTCATATATAAGTATAAACCAGTGTAATGACGATATTTAATGGCTTTATTTAACGATCATAAAAGCAGCAATTGTTTTTGCCCAAGTACAAGTCTAAATTCTTACCTTGGAAGTACTCTGGCTTGCTACACGGAGATTTCATTGAGTTCAGTTTATGCCGGAGTGCCTGTCTCAGGTCAGCTTTCCCCACATTTTTTACTTCACCAAGCCTTGCAACCATCGCAAAATCTGGAAAAAAGGAGAACTAATAGAGTCATTTTTCTGAAACAACTTTTTTGCCATGACACAGCCTTCGTTTTAGTACAATGAATAAAGCAAAATGCAATTATATTTAAGATTTATTTATATTTTGTCAAGTTTTGTCAGCGGGGCACACTTAATATGCATAATTTTAGTTGGAAGATGCAAACATTATTTTTTGTGACTTGGCCTTATGCCCACTAAAATGGTCAACACCATAGCAGGTTTTCCAAAATGATCTCTCAAAAGTAAAGACTTAATTCTGAAAACAGAGTTCTATCAATTCATTTAATTTTAACCTTCCACACTGTTCACAAGCATCACCGGCACTATTGAATCAAGCACACTGAGAATTTCACTTAACAGTGGATTACTAACCTTGAAACGAAAATGTGTTGCCAGGGTTAAAGAAATTGGCTGAGTTTGAATGGTCAAAAATAATGCAAAAATCACAATATCAATGAAGCTAGTCTGTGTATAACCAAATATATCCTGTCACTACCAATAGCAGCTTCAGTGATTTCCTTATCTAAATCGCTGAAGTTCTTTGAGAGAAGCTCTTCTTTGTCATAAAATCTACAAAGGAGTGACCAGACCAGCACTGTTCGTGACTTGTTCTCAGTATCCTTTATGGCTGCGCCAAGTTTGTTGGGGCATATCCATACCCCAGAGCCGCTGACAAGTTCTGTAAGCTATTAAAGGGAAAAAATATACTTTAAACAAAATACCTTTTTTAAGTGAAACTGGTTTAAAAGTTTTATGAAACATAGCTTCAAACAACTCATAACAGTTGTCTTCAAAGGGTATTAAATCCTGTACAAGAAGATTAATTTTTTTTACATTAAAAAAGGAGATCTTTTTAACCTTTAAACAATATTTTATTATTAATTGAGCCGGAATGATAAGCAGTTTGTGAGACATTAATTTGGAACATTTGCTTTCAGCAAATAGCATAAACTGTAGCCTTCTGGATGCTGAAGTAAGGAATAAAAAGGAGTTAAAGCAATTCACTTCACACAAACATTATAGCACGTAAGCATTATCTCTTAATGCCTTACGCCAAGTGTAGTAGCTTCCTCCCTTGACATTTTCCCTTGACCCTTACATGGTGGGAGAACACTTCCAGCTTGTTCTTTTATTTTTCCTAGGAAAGTATAATATACTGTACGTTTATTCTTGGTCAGATGTGGCTTAATAAATAGTAAGATAAACAAAACCAACAATCAAAGAACCCCTTGGGTCGATAGGGTTGAGGGAGCTAGGCTTATTTTTTGCAGTGAGACTTATTAATATTTATTGTGTTTTAGAGCAAAAAAAACACGCCACATTTTGAGAATGCAACTTCTTTGTCTCTCAGTCTTCCTGACAAGAGACTGCTTGTGCAACTTGCTGACACATACATGAACTGGCGTATGCTACATGGCTGGAAATAAACTAATGCAGGAGTGTCTTATACTATTGTCAAAGAAAAATTATGTCTGCAAATGTTTATATTGAAAGGGTAACCCTAGAAGCATTACAAATTTATGTTGCATTGTGTCTATCATTGTTGGTCCTCAATTGTGTGAAAGTGTAAAATATTTCATACTTACGAACTTCGTCTTTGAGGTGCTGTACTTCTTCAGTGAGCTTTTTAATTTTTTCATCTTTTTCCTCTTTGCAAGCAACGTTTAGGCAGCGGGGAAGTATGTGCTTCTTGGGCTGTTTCCCACCAAAGTGGGGATGCTGTAATGGTTTGAGCAGGAGCCACATCTTCAGGTTCACTGTCAGTCAGACTCATTTCAGATTCAGATACTGAAATGTGCCCCAAGTCTGGAGTGGGATTGTCTAAGATGGCATCTTTTATGCTATCAAGCTTTTGGGTCAGAAGTGACAGCTCTTTTTGTTTATTGAGGCTTTTTGCCTTCTGTTGTTCAGTTTTCTTTTTAGAAGGGGACGAAGTCTTGGCTGAAATTATAAGAATGTTTTATGAGTGAATGCATGGTACATGTATTTTGGGTAATAAGTGTGGGACTATCAATCAACGGGGCCGGGTTGTTCGAAGCTGGGTTAAGATAACCCAGGGTTAGTGTGAAATTTGAACTCAACTATGGAAGCTTAAAAGCAAATTCAGTTTAATTCTCTTTGCCTACAATTTGATGATTGGATAAAACAAATCCATTCAGTGTAAATTTCCCCTGATGCACTCATCTTAAGCATATGTAAGGTATAGTGTGTTAATAAATAAATCAATTTCAATGAGAACGAACCTTTTTTACTTGTTTTCTTTGGCTTCTTTTGTGGTGCAGGTCCATCATCTTACTCAGGGCTTTTCTCTTATTGTAGTAAAAAACATACAAAAGTAAATGGTCAAACAATGTTTAGGAAAAAAGCAAGAAACAGAAATGGAGTGGTGGCGATGGAAGTGAGGGTTGGGTGGTAAGGACTTTGAGGGCATTCACATATGGTCAGTATATGTCAAGTTGGGAAAGTGAAGGTGATGAATTTTTTTTCCAGAAACTACAAATTGTATACTAATGAAAGACAATATTATTCAAATACACTCCTTAAAGGGAAATTTTACCTGTCATTGTTTCAGAATCTGTAGTTAAAAACTCATTAGAAAGCAAGTTTTTGTTGACTCTCTTCTTTTTTTTGCCTCTTCCCTTTCCGCCACTACCATTGTCTTCAGCGCTTTGCTGCAGGTTAGGTGTGAATGCATCTTGAGAGGCTTTTGCATCACTAAGATTTCCTTTCGTAAAACGTGAAATGGCAAAAGAAATCAAGAACAGTTCCCAGTTTTCATCAAAGAGAGTACTTAAGAGGAGGGTAGGGGAGTCAAAAGAAGGTTCCCCCCATTAATTAATTCAAAATTAGCTACGTTACATCAGCCCACATTCACTTCTCCGGTAGTATGTTGTAAAACTTTGCTTGATTACAGATTACGTAATGTATTTAGGCATTTATTGCTTGCATAAGCATAACGTTGGTGGACATTATTGCAATTATGGCCAGTTGATGTTAAGATGATGAATCTCCCCCTTGGACAGTTGAATCCTGCTTACATTAACATGCAGTCATCATTAAGAAATTTCAGATTATAGACGCTGACAAAACTGCTCACCATGAACTGACAGGATGTATCCTTCCCAGATCTCATTGTGGTACTGCATAGAAACTTCTGTTCCAGCTTGTGGAGATCCTTCGTAACCACGTGGTTTTAGTCCGGTCTCAGGACCGCATTCAGTCTTCCATTGTTCTTTTCCCACCTCAATTTCCAGCATTCCAATTGGTTGAAATTTGGTACCCAGGTCTTCACGACTGTTCCCGTGGCTTGGTCATCCAGCTCCTTAGTGAAAAAATGGTGGAAGATAGTGGGTTTCCCTGCTACAAAAAGTGGAGATTTAATGCTGATGCGGAGCCTTCTCGATCGACTCTTTGGCGGAGAAGAAAACAAAAAAGAACACTCGAAAGCCAGAGTAGCGAAAAAAGTTTACCTGATAATGTCGAGAGGCAGATTCAATCGGACTCAATTCCTCAGGAAGATGGAGTTGCATGTAGTGCTGGAGTCGCAGCAGATTTCTCCATCGATGATTTGGACTCTTGTACTACAAGGCTATTTTCAGATTTGTAAGCCATCAGTCAAATAAAAAATTAGTCCTTTGACAAAAAGAAAATCAATTTGAAGTCCGATGGTTCGAATTGTTTGTTTGAAAAATGTTTACTTCACTGCGAAAATAAATCTTTTAAATTATTGCTTTCGTTCCGATCTTTAATTAAAGTATATCATCATGAACTACCCTGCTGAAGACACAAGCTTGATTTACGTTTAAAAGTAGATAACATGTTAACAGGCTGAAAGGGATATCGGAGTTTACTACAGAAATTATGCAGGGTCAGTTTGGTCAGGATCTAATTTGAAGAAAATGCTAGGCATAAACACAAAAAGGGCTATTTTAATGTTCCAATGAGATGTAAGTGTAGATAGTCATGTATTCCGTAATTTAGCCGGCCGGTCCCGCATACCTTCCAAAATGTGTGGTGCCCTACTGATTTTCTTTTCACTTTAGATGAATTCGTTCCCATGTCACTCCCAAGTTTGGAAAACAATACTGATGGTGCATTCAGTGACTTTGTTGACGTGATGCAAGGAACACCAAGAAATGAAGAATGTCAGGAAACCTATGCTGAGCCTTGTGATTTTCCAGTTCAAGATATTTTAACTGAAGAACTAGCCGACTAAATAGAGGAAATAGAAGTGGAAAATATGACTACAGATCCTGAGGAAACAAAGAAAACTCACAATTCAGAACATGAATTGTTGTATGGAAATGCTCTAATTACAGTTGGGGAGAGTTGCTGTTAACCATGGCTTTCATCATGCGGCATAAATTGTCTATGGTTGCCTCTGATGATCTTATCACCCTTCTCAAGTTACCCTGCCCAGCGGAAAACAATGCAGTAAAAGGGCTGGGCAAATTTAAAGAATACTTTCAGTACCTCAAGCATCCCATGAAAAAACACTTTTGTTGCCCAAATTTAAAGTGCCAGGTCTATATATATCTGCAACCAAACCAAAGGATGGCGGTGTTTGTCACATATGCAGTCAGCCACTATCAGGGAAGTCATTTTTCATAGAGCTTCCTGTTGAAGACCAACTGAAAACTATTCTGTCACGTAAGTTCTGCAATTCTTTTACATGTAAATGTATGTGTATATTGGGAGAAAATTTGTTAACAATTTCTTAATTGCTGTAGTAAGTACTGTAATAAGTATAGCAAGTAAAAAAATGCCACACTAATCTAACAACCTTCAAGTGGGAACAATTTGAATAGCTCAGTGGGAAAACAGGGTGTACAGTGCCATGTAGGAGATACACCTCATCCTACATGTAATTCCACTTAGCTAAATGAGGAACAAGGGGAGAAAGAAAGTACTTTTTTGTTTTTGTCACACAGGTCCCGGTCAGTTTGTAAACCTCAAGTGCAGGTTTCATCGAGCAACTAGTGGTGATGGTTCAATTAAAGATGTTTATGATGGCGAGGTGTAAAAAGTGTTTTCAGGTCCTCATGGTTTTTTAGCAAGTGAAACCAACATTTCACTTCTTTGCAACACTGATGGTCCTACACTCATTCGCTCCTCTTGACTTTTTAGCAAGTGAAACATTTCACTTCTTGGCAACACTGATGGTGCTGCACTCAATCGCCCCTCGAGTTATGGAGAATGGCCAGTTTTTCTTGTGATCAGTGAGCTTTCACCTCTTCAAAGGTAAATTGAACAACTGAGCAAATATTAATAATACATCTGTATGAGGTTTGGCAAACTGTTTCAGAAGAATAATCAAGACCCAAGGCATATAAAGGTTGGTCTAGGGCGATAACTGGCGTTTGCAAGGGGTTAAGGTGCTGCACAGCCGCTTTGATGACTTTCATGCTATGTTCTATCATAGCCAATGAATGTGCATTCTCAGTAAACATACGGAGCAACGTGACTATCGCAGGCTTATAGATGGAGAGTGGAGTTTTGGAAGCTCTGTAAGCTGCTCACGAAACAAAATCCTTCAGATCAAGTCCCAATCCCCCAATCCATGTTCAGCTGAAAATAAGATTTTAACTGAGTTTATTGGGTGACTTCAAGGCTCACTCGATAATAAAAAAGCTGGGTTTAACTAGCCTAGCACTATCGCCAAAGGGCTCATATTCAAAACTCTCAAACTTTCAAAATAGGTCAAAGAGCTAATTAGGAAACTGATTCCAATCCTACAGAAACGCCACAATTGACATGACTAATTGCCTTTAGTTAATAACAAAAGCCCCATTTTACATTCAAAGTGTTTTGTTCTTATAAAATTGCCATGAAATTTCCCGAAAAAAGCTAGTTATTGTACCAAATGCTGTCTTACCTGAGAACCATGAACTGACAGGATGTATCCTTCCCAGATCTCATTGTGGTACTGCATAGAAACTTCTGTTCCAGCTTGTGGAGATCCTTCGTAACCACGTGGTTTTAGTCCGGTCTCAGGACCGCATTCAGTCTTCCGTTGTTCTTTTCCCGCCTCAATTTCCAGCATTCCCATTGGTTGAAATTTGGTACCCAGGTCTTCGCGACTGTTCCCGTGAATTGGTCATCCAGCTCCTTAGTGAAAAAATGGTGGAAGATAGTGGGTTTCCCTGCTACAAAAAGTGGAGATTTAATGCTGATGCGGAGCCTTCTTGATCGACTCTTTGGCGGAGAAGAAAATGAAAAAGAACGCTCGAAAGCCAGAGTAGCGAAAAAAGTTTATCTGATAATGTCGAGAGGCAGATTCAATTGGATTCAATCTCTCAGGAAGATGGAGTTGCATGTAGTGCTGGAGTCGCAGCAGATTTCTCCATCGATGATTTGGACTCTTGTACTACAAGGCTATTTTCAGATTTGTAAGCCATCGGTCAAATAAAAAATTAGTCCTTTGACAAAAAGAAAATCAATTTGAAGTCCGATGGCTCGAATTGTTTGTTTGAAAACTAATGTTTACTTCACTGGGAAAAAAAAGCTTTTAAATTATTGCTTTCGTTCCGATCTTTAATTAAAGTATATCATCATGAACTACCCTGCTGGAAACACAAGCTTGATTTACGTTTTAAAGTAGATAACATGTTAACAGGCTGAAAGGGATATCGGAGTTTAAATTATGCAGGGTCACTTTGGTCGGGATCTAATTTGAAGAAAATGCTAGGCATAAACACAAAAAGGGCTATTTTAATGTTTCAATGAGATGTAAGTGTAGATGGTCA